GTCTTGTCCACACAGGAAGGTAAGCACCTGAGAGGCAGGCACTGTATTTTATATTCAATTTGCATCTCCTGAGATTGTTGAGCATCATTATCCTATAAACTTACAGTAGCCATTTTCGTGGCAATGGAATTTTAGCAGAGACAAGGGGAAAACAGTCATTTTCATTTCCCTAATAAGATACATTTATTCTGTTTACCAGATAAACATTAACATACTGATTGGCACTAAATAAAATTTTAATATATAGTAGCTGTTAGATATTATTGGAAATATTTGTGTTTGTATGTAAATTACACAACTATCCTTAACCATGGGCCAAAAGTGATATCACCTTTTTAATAGTCTATCTTTATTTAAGTCTTTTCACAAGTTATACTTCCTGGGATGTTTATTTCTTTGAACTTATTTTGATCCTTAATGTGTTTAACACTATTTGCTTTGCACAAAAGCAAAGACCAAAACTTAAGAGATAAGAGTACTGTCGTAGTTTGGATGTAATTGACCCCATAATCTCATAGAATGGCACTATTAGATATGGCTTTGTTGGAGGGGATAGGTCTTATTGGAGGAAGTATGTCACTATGGGGATGGGCTTTGAGGTTTCCTATGCTCAAGATACCACCGAGCATGTCAGTCATCTTCCTGTTGCCTGCAACATGTAGGACTCTCAGCTGCTCCAACACTGCATCTTCCTGAATGCTGTCATGATAATGGACTGAACCTCTGAAACTGTAAGTGAGCTTCCCCAATTAAATGTTTCCTTTATAAGAGTTGCCATGGTCATGGTGTCTCTTCACAGCAATAGAAACCCTAACTAAGACAAGTGTCTTGTAGGAGTAAGAACTCCCCAGTCTTTAGGTTGCCTGAATTTAAAGGCCCATGAGTGTCTTTCTAAGAAGAACTGTGAGAGGTTTCCATCAGTAAGTCCCAACTAGGTAAACTCAACTTAGATTCATTTTTGTCTAGGAAAGGCAAGGTGCTTATACTACCATGAAAAACTTAAAACTAAATAGGAGATAAAAAACATAATGTGACAAACATTATATGAAATTAACCTCTTATAGAATGTATCCCAAATGTTACATTTCTATAGACACCCCCCCATCTCCCATGGACAACAATAAATGTCCATTTCTTCACTTACAGACATTTATGGCAGTGAAGAAGACATCAGAGAGACTCAACACCAACAGAGTTGAGTTTGTGGTAGAGAGAGCACCTGGAGCTCCTTCTGCCTGCTGTCAGAAACCTTCTCTGATAAAATGACAAGAAGGAGCCAGGAATGTTGGGGAGAAGTATAATTAGAGTGAGTAAGCAGAAAGAAGGCCAGTGAAGGGAGACTTGGGAGCAGGGAGACAGGGATGAGGTTATGAGTCCAACAGAGCTTCAAGCAGAGATTTGATTTTATTTTGAGCACAGGTGCTATTGGCACAGAGAACTAAGACTAGAGCTCTGTTTTACCATGGTCGTAGTATGGCTTCAGTGTTGCCCCAAACTCATGTTGGAATTTAATTGGCACTGTAGTGGTACTGGGCCTGAGGGTAGGGACCTGGAGGAGGTGACTAAGTTATGAAGGCACCTTCCTCCTAACAGACTGAAGGTAATACTTCAGAGATGGGCTTGTTTTTAAAAGAGTGGGCTGTAAGAAAGCAACCTGGGCACCCCGGCTTGCTCCCACTACCCTCTCTTACATGCTCTTCTGCAATGTTACACCCTCTGTCATGTTGTCCCACAGCAAACAGGGTCTTTTCAAGGCATATTGATGTCAGACCTTGTATTAAGTACTTTCTCGCTGCTGTGGCAAAATATATGGCAAAAAGCAAGTTAAGGAAGAAAGTATTCATTTTGGCTCACATTTTGAGGGGACAGTCCATGATTGCGTGTAAGTCATGGCAGCAGAAGTGTAAGGTAGGAGGTTCCATTGTGTCTGACGTCAGGAAGCAGAGAAAAATAAATGCTGCTATTCAGCTTGCTTTTTTCTTTTTAGTCTTCTTAGTCCATGGGATGGCATCTCCATATTCCATGTGGGTCTTTCCTCCCAAGTTAAAGTCCAAAGTTCCATAAATGACACGTAGTCTTAAACACCTATTAAGCGAGTGTTTGCTGGACTTTACTAAACTTGAATTCAACATATCCTGTGACCCAAAAATTTCTATGTCTAAATGTGTTATAGACACATCCAAAAGATACAGTCTTACAGTAGCTCTCTTTGTAAAAGACTAAAACTAGAAATAACTAAATGACCAGCAATGTAGAATAAGTAAATCGCAGGATATTCTATGATGGAAAACCATGCTATGATAATAATGAATGAACTTTTGTTACACATAGTAGAAGAGAAGAATATCATGGCATAAAAGCAGACAGAAACATGCACAACAACCTGTAATATTTAAGCACATATGAGCTTGTGTTGTGCTGGGAGTCAGGTTTCTGCAGGGGAGAGATGGGGAATAGAGGTGGGACTGTATTCTGAAGGGATGGAGGTGCTAGCCATGTCTTTATTTTTTTTTTTAATAAATCCAGGTGGTGTAGGTGATGCTTGTTGCTGCTACATCAAGCTGATCAAGCTGTGTGCTTATAACCTCTTCATGTTTCTGTTGGCTTCAACAAAACATTAACACTCTAAGACTACTCATTGAAAATACTGTTAATAGTCATAATGGTTGTTTGGATAATGTTTCCCCTGGGATCAAGTTTCCAAAATCCCTTTGATTTATCTCCTATCTACTGTGGCAGCATTGGTCAGTGGAGAATGGCTATTTGGTGGTGCTAAGGGGCTTGTTTAGTTTAGATAGGAAGGGGAGCTGCTTTTACCGAAGACATTTCTCTAATATCAGACTGAGGGAGACGGCACATTAACTCCCTAGTTCTCTTCAGAGACCAGATTTGATTTCTTCAGAAAAAGGCCTCATGACCTTATTGGGGAGAGCTTAGATGCAATGCATGGCTGCCTGTCAGTCTAGGAACAGGGTCGAGATTGGATTGTAAGAGTGAGTGACTCTTCCAGACTAACACCTGGCTAGGCCACTTCCTCATCCCAATCTGTCACTTATTGACCTGTGATGCTCTGCATCTGCCTCAGAGATTCTAGATCAAGGAACCTTTCAGTCTGTTTTATTGGTCACTTCTCCACCCTTCTCCAGAAACCTTTTGAAACCTGTGACACTTTGTTAGTTTTCTATGGTGTTCTTGGTTTGTACATTTTCATTTTCCTATATGTTTTATTGCATTGGAGGAAAAAAGACAGATGCGTTCTCATTCGGCCATTCTGATCAAGTCAATGTATTGTTTCATCCCAAACACTCACACTAAAACATTGTTTTGCTTTACCAGATTCTGGTACATGAACTCATGAGGGATCATGAGCATCACGCCACCTCTCACTTCCCTTTCCTGCTTCAACTTCTGATATTTATCATTTCTAAATTGTCTAGGTTTATGTGATTTACATTTTTCCTTTAATAAAATTAAATATTTCCATTTTTGCTTCATAGACATCTTCTAAAAATTAAAGTCTTCCAAACAGAAAGTCAGTTAGCTGTGCACATTTGAAAGCAATGCTGTGTCACTGACAACCCTGTCGTTCACAATCGGTGGTCCTAGCTGTCAAGGTCTGGTGACTCCTGTTAGTTAAATCCAGCCTCTTTTCTTCCTTCTGGGTCATAAGATGTTAGTGGTTTTGGATTTTCAATGTCCTTCTCGTTCTTTCAAAATTATTATTTTCTTCTTATGTAAGGATTGTATTTTTACTTCCCCAATTAGTATATTTATATTAAATTCTTCAATCATTATGATAATATTTCTACTTTTTTGGGTGTTTAAAAATGTCTTCCTAATACTGAGTTGGTGAATTGTTGCATATAGGTATTTTAAGTTTGAACAGCTTCTCTTAGGAAATTACTAGCATTGTTGCTTCTTCTGGAACTTAGTGTGATAGTGAGGCGTCTAGTGTCCTAATGATTTGCATTTCTTGCAGGTAATCTGCATATTTTATAGGCAAGCTATATACATTAGTATATTAGTAATACTAATTCTCTAATATTGAACAGCAGCAGAAATAAATGATGCTTAAATGGTTAAGGACCCAGATTAGTAATTCTCCATTGAATTTTGCTCTTCTGGATAAGGCTGACATAGAAATGATGCCATAAAATAGTTCTATGGGTTTTTTTTATGAAATTGCTGATAATAGAAAATTACCTCTTGAAATATGTGATTCTAAGGTGGGAATCTGAAATGGCGTCTTTTCATTTTTTGAAATATTCTTTTTTTAGTGTTACTGGCCTTCAAAAGGTGAAATGATTGTAAGTGGCCCCCAAGTCACTGATGAATAATTTATTTCTATCACATCTTTGAAAAAGATATTAGATGGCATGGCAATTCTGCTTCATCAAATAACTACAGCAAAACAAACCAGCAAAATGAATATAAGATCTCAGCAAAAAGTGGCCAGTTTTTAATGAGATAGAACCTAGGGCTTGTTTTGTGAATAGGTAATATGTTTTATTTTTTATTATATGTATTTTATTTATTGTTTGAGGGTTTCATGGATGTATACGGAGTGCTTAAATCTTCCCCATCTCCCCTCCAACTTCTCCCGTGCCATCCCCATTCCCCTCATCTTCATGTACTCTTTTATTTTACCCACTGAATCCACTTAGTCCTCGCAGTATTATGTATAGGTTCATACACTGAAACATGGGTAGTCTCAGGGGCTACACCACTGAAGAAATTTCAACAGTGTCAACTGTTTCTCCCAGCATCCATCAGTTGCCAATAAATCCTTAGCTAGAGGTGGGGCTTTGTGAGTTCCTCCCCTATCTGTACAGAAATTTCAGCTGTCTTGATTTTGTGAGGTCATGTACATGCAGTCATAGCTACTGTCATAGCAACAGCCCTGTCATGTCTAAATATACAATTTTGTCACAATGCTCTATGATCTCTGGCATTTACAATACCCCTCCCTTCTGTGGTGATCTCTAAGCCTAAGACAACTGTGACAGAGATGTCTTATTTAGGACTAAATACTCCAACATCTCTTATTTTTCTTTTTGCTCTTTAATCAGTTGTGAGTTTCTGTATTAATCACTATATACTGCAAGTAGAAGATTTCCTGATGAGGGTGCTAATTGGATAACCAACTAATTCCTGACAGGATTTAAGGCCCACTCCACAAAATGGAACTCATGTCTGGTACTACTAACTGGTCAAGAATTTGTGTCTGAATAGGTCACAGGTAATACAAGTGAAACCACTACTGTTAATCTTCTAAATGAGTAAAAATCAAACTGCCCTCTAAATACTTATCTTTATACCATAGATTAGTGCAACTCTCAAACCTTTATACTATTAAATTTCAAACCAGTATGAAAACTGTCTACTGTCTATTTTATGAGCTTATGTATAAAATATCTCACTATGCACATTACTATAAAATAGAAAAGCAAGTAAAATTCTTACCTGACTGATGGGAAGCCATACTTTTCCTGAAGAACATAGAGGCAGTCAACCACAGCCTAAAGATTAGAATGAGTTTCCCATCTCTCCTAATTCAGCATAAACTCCAAAAGTAGATGCTTGTATTACGCTTTGCACTTTGGCTACTATATTAGTTACTTGTCTTGTTGGTGTGATGAAAACCATGTCAAGAGAAGCAGAAGGAAGGGAGGGTTGATTTGGGCTCACGGTGCCAGGGTACAGTCCAGTATGGTGGGGCAGTCCTGGCCGAGCTTGAAGAAGTCAGCCACATTTTATGTACAGTTAGGAAACGGGACATGAGTGCTGTGCTCAGCTTCATGTCCACTTTGTGTGCAGTCTGAGACATCAGAAGACACTCAGAGTGGGTCTAAAATAACCCCTCACAGATGTTCCCAGAGGCCAATCTGCTTTATATAACCCCTATAGAAATGGCTGGTCTTGTGTTCTAGGTGACTCTAGATTCTGTCAAGCTGACAAGCAGTGTGGGCACAATTACCAAGGAATTCATAGAAAAGTCTGGACTTTAGCTTTTTATAATTGTGCAGTCTGTGTAATTACATTCTAAATCAGTCATATTATCTACCTCTGAATTGCTAATGTAATTCATATATTTAAATTTAAATTTCTGACTTCTTTCAGGCCGTTTTATGTATGTTGGGTGATTCTGAAGGAAAGAAACATGAGAAAATGCATGAAGAGAAATCAAAAGAAGAGGGAAGATAGTACATTTGTAAGCCTATCACTTGGGATGCCGAGGCACATGTCTCAAATGACCAAGAGAATCCTTGGGTGGGGCAAAGAGGAAAGAAACTGGCTGTGTTAGAACTCCCAGGTCTTCTAGTGGTGGAAAACATTTTTCTTCTTGGGGTCAGAGTCTGTAATTCATTCTCTGTGCTCACTTCCCAGCCCAGGTATAAGCACAGGGTATTGCCCAGTGCAGTCTGCTTCTTCTGCCCTCAAAAGTCAGCCTAAGCCATTACTCTTGTCTTGTAACTATTATTTTGTAAGCAAAAACGTCTTAGACATTACATTAAGAATGCTGTTTCTTGCCTGTCTGTGCACTAATACAATCTTTTAAAAATTACTGGAATTTTTGAGTAATGAAATGTTTTACTTATTTAGCATCTCAGCATATTAAATATAAACATTTACAAATGCTTTAGTCATATTCATTAAGTGTTTCCTAATCAATTCCTTTCCTTTCTGTTAAAGTATTATTTTGAGTCAGGGTCTCACTATGTAGCCTTGGCTGACCTGCAACTACATAGCCCAGAGAAGCCTCAAATTCACAGATCCACTTGCTTTTGCCTCCTGTGTGCTAGGATTAAAAGCATGTGCCTCTATGCCTAGCCACAAAAGTTTGTTTTTGATAATATTAAATTTATCTATAATAAATCTGTCTTTGTAGTTGTCTTAAAATTTGTTGAAATACATCAAATGAAGAAAACAATGCCCTTTGTAATGTATCTGTGCTAGCCACAGCCTGGGACTAGAGTCCTTTCCAGGCAGGTAGAGAATATTCATGCTTAAATCCTTTCAGACCTAATTAATTTTATTTGTACATGCCATCTAAGGATCTCATGTAAATATCCAAAGAGAAGATCAATTTGATATCTCATGTCCTTTGGTAGAAAAGGACTGAGCTGTGACATTGTGGCTTTGATAAACATGTCTAGGATATCATCCCATAGATAGTCAATGCTGTGGTGCTCTCTTTGGTACACCGGCACCAGCTTGGGTCCTGGTAATTTCAGACCAACATAGATGTCTGGAAACACCTCAGCTAAGGCCTGCAGATGTGCACAAATATGTGCTCTATGGCCTCCGTGGCCCTCTTTGATGGTGCCAGAATCCACAAATAGGTTACTTTGGGAAGGATGTCTCCCACTACAGCTGGCAAAATTGGAATGGAAAAATGATGCAAAGTCTCATACCACCATCATGTCTATTTGATTGTTAGTTTGCTGTATAGAGAGAAGACCTCCTGCTGGCCAAGCCACAGAAGTCCAACTGGGTTTCTCATGGAGTGCCCAGTGTGCCCCTATTTCCTTGATTCAGCACAAAGGCTGTTTCTGATTTCTGGGCATGGCTCCTCACCATCTGTTCCAGGCTGCAGCTGCTATTGTTTTATTTTGTTATAGGACTTATTACTATTGTTGATTCATCATTACATAATGTTTTATTTATATTCACAAAAACATAATATCACGTTGTTGTTCTTTTGAATAGAAACAAATTAGTAGGGTAGGGTCCTGGAGAGGGATGCTCCCATTGTTGGGGTAAGGGACCAGTGGTTATTCAGCTTTACGTTTAAGAAGGGAAGTATAGCATGCATGGGATGGCTGGTTCCAGGGTTATTGGAAGTCTCTTTAAAGATAAGTGATGTCGGGAACTTGAAGAACATCCGGAAAATGTATGCAAGGGAAATTCAGAATGCAGTTGATAGTGCTCACATCCGTAGGGCGGGTCATACTGTGTGAAGAGTGAGCAGCTTTTAAACCCGGCCTGCCTGTTCCTGTGGACCTCATGGCACTCTGGAAATGACTGTTCAGCAAACATTTATCAAAAATGAGTAAGTAAACCAAATGCTTCTTTCAGACCTGCCCTTAATATTTTGCAACACCTTTCATTGATGTAGCATTGATTTAAGAGAGCGTATCTTGTGTTGCTAAAGACACTGTGAGATAGCGCTCTATCCCCACATTGCCCTCACCTTTGTCAAATCTCCCTCTGAGGTCTGCATTTCTTAAAGGATCTCACCATTCGGTCCCTGGGACAGTGTGAACACTCTAGAACATACGTAAAGGACCGACAATGTAGGAATGGCATTCCTTCGAGGGGAAAGACACTCAAGTATTTACATAATTTACAGGGAGTTTCTGCTAGAGAGCAACAGTCAAAATGGGAATTGAAATATCAATATGAAAATGGAGGCATGCATTGGGGAGCCTCATTTTAGGATTTCCTTTTCTGGTGAAGATATTTGAATGTTGCACTTGTAGCCAGGTGTCATCTAGGTTTGGACTGTGAAGTTTGAAAAGTGGTATTTTACATTTGCCAAGCCAACCAATAGTGGATATTGTAATTAAACATAGGTGTGGATTTGAAGTTGGATACACGGCTGGTTCTACGCACAAAAATACCCCTGAAGGTTGGAGAGAATGTGGGGCCACTAGATGTAACAGGACCCAGTCCCAGTGACTTCATGTCTATGTGTAGTTTGCTTTTAAACCGAGACACCCACCACTCTGCGTATTATCTCTTCAAGGACAAAAGTGTCCCTTATTGGAAAGAAATTGGCTCACATTTTGACTAAATGTAAAAGAGTTTTGATAAGTAGTGTCAATTATATATCAGATGGTGGGTAAAAAGTTTTATATCTGTTATCTTTAATTCTCACAGTGAACCCCAAAGCTAGAGCATGCCCCCTGTCCATCTCAGAACAAAGAGGCAAAGGTTCAAGCACACACATATGTGGACAGGCTCACAGCACATACTTACGGATGCCTCAGGAGCAGAACTGGGCCTGAGAGCAAAGTCTGCCATCTCTTGCTATTATACCATTCCTATCCTCAGCCTCTGGTTTTACCAGCTAGCCAGGGAGTTCAAATTTCTTTTCCAATATTCTAAAATAAAAGAGAAGACTTGAACTGTCTTAATATGAGCTAACCCAAAGATACAAGGGAAAAAATAAATCTTTGTTGAGTCAGAGAAATGTTTGGGTTTTAAGTTAAACACATTGTGCTTGCTTCTCTGTAGATAGAATCTCAGCCTCCAAGCCTGACGACCTGAGTTCCATTCGATTCCCTGAACCATACGGATCACACCGGATCACACCGGATCACACCGTGACATGTTCCTCCTCCCCCAAATCAGTCAGTCAAATCATCCAATCAAAGTTTAAAAAAAAAAAAGAAACAAAGAAAATAGGATCTGGGGGACCCCAGGATGTAGCTCAAAGATAGTAAGCCCTGGGGCTGACTCTTATCAAAACCAAACAAAACACAAAGCCAGGGAGTGAGTGTCTGGAGAGATGGCTAGAAGTTAAGAGTACTTGCTACTCTTACAGAGGAGCTGGCTTTGGTTCTTGGTGCACACGGGGAGGCTCACAACTACCTGTAACCCCAGTTCTGGGGGTCCCAGCTTTCTCTTCTGGCCTCCACAGGTACCAAGAACACATGAGGTGTGCATCCATACAAGCTGAATATTCCTGTGTATAAACTAAAAATAAACTTTTAATTCTATAAACGGATGTGAAGAAAGCAGGGCACACTGTACAGAAGGAGAATGCAGACTGACATAAATAAAGTAGATTTGATGCTAAAGTGTCGTGTGCTTTATGGGGCAATATTTTGAAAATGCGTTTCTTGTGTGTATGTCGGTGGACTTCTGGCTGGGTTGCACATTATGATTCTGTCCTTGCCTCTGGGTATACCGCTGACATAACTAGATGGTTGTAGCCCACACAGAAAACAGGGGAAAACATTAAATCAATACAGGACATGGATGCGACCCACTTATATCTGGTACAGATCAAAAGTGAGTGTGCCTTACGGGTGATAGACTTAAGTGCACAGCTGGGAGGACAAAGCAGAAAGTATACACATGTTACTGGAACAGAGTCTCCAAGGCTACCACCCCAATCCAGGTTGCTGCCTAGAAAATGGGTGCCCTAGTCAATAAGGAGTATGGTCTGCCGGAAACAATGGCTACATTTCTGGGTTCTTGGTGAGTTTGCTATAGCTAGTAGAATTTCCCATTATCATGCTTCAGGCACACACACACACACACACACACACACACACACACACTCCCCCAAGTTTTCCCATGAAGGTTCTCTTGTACACTAGTTTTTGATCAATCCCCAGTGTATGGTCCCACCATACACGGCCCAACCTGTGCTGCTTTGGGGGCAGCCGAAGCATCGTTCCCTGCTTTTCAGAGTTCCCTGCAGATGTGGCCAGCAAAGAGAGGTTAAGGAGCTAGCAAGGCAGGACAGCTGGGGATCGTTAGCAACAATCAAGGAGCAGCATTAAAAGGCAGCAGGGGTGAGGCCTTGGTTCTTGCTTTGGCCTGCCTGAGGAAGCCATCTGGACAGAGGAAATTCGCCTTAAACCTTGGCAAGAGAACTTTGTTCTGTTTGAACTTTGTTTAAAGCCCCAGAGTGGGTGATCATTTTGTTTAAACTTTCCTTAAAACAAAGAGTGGGAGATCCCCCGCAATTAACAACAGGAACCTTCTCCGCTCTTAGCAGACTTGATAGGAAAAAATGCAAGGACTGTTCTGACATCCATTAACATGCCTCAGCTAGCAGGATGGAAAGCAAGATGCAAAGGAAGGACATTTGGAAGTCTCCAGAGAGTTAAGGTAACATAGTAAAGGGATAATCACATTATGTATCATCTTTATTTAGGATTCTCATTTGGGGACTGTCCCCGTTGCCGACTGAGGGCTTCAGCTTGTTGCTACTTAATAGTAGCATTTTATTTTTATCATGATTTCTTTAATTCACTGTCTTCGCACACATATTCACACGATGCTCACAAATAGTGGGATTTGCCAGCCAATGTTAAATCGATGCAATAGGAAGCTTGACTGTGAGGCAGAGCTTTGAACGCAACCACTTTTCTTCTTGCGTTTGCAGTTCCAACAGCAAACTTCAGCCTATTTTGTGCTAACAGCAGCGAATGAACCAAGATTCTTTCACTAAACTCAAAGGTTACTGTTCTAATTTTGTCTATAGTAGTATTATCCATAACACATATATTTGCACACGAGAATATGTTGTAGAATTCAGCCTTCTGAACAAGAACCATCACTTTTTGTTCTTTGATCACATCAGCAGTGCTGTTTGCAAGCGTCTATCACGATGTGGTTTGTTAACCATTAACATTCCCTTATAGACAGAGGGAATCACTTAGGATCCTCACCTGGGAGTCTAGCTGCTCTTCAAAATCAGTTAATCATCCATAGAAGGTGTTAGGGAGAGTACTTGGGATGGAGGGGGTTAACTGAGGGGGCATTCCATCTATGTGGCTACTGAGATGCCATCATTCATGCTGGGTGAAGCCTTTCCAGTGGGGCTGTTCACGCTCATGTAGGCAACATCTCACCCATACTCTGTAAGTATGCCCAAAATGCTCATTGCTTCCCCAGGTTGAATTTTAGCTGCATCATATTTCAGTCTGTTGTTGGGACCTTATAAGGAAGGGGTAGAAATTATTTACCTCTTCTAAGGGAAGAAATTCTCAAAATAGATTATATATATGTGGAGTCCTCATGGAAAAGTTCTTTGAGGAAAACCCTAATGTCTGGCATTTAGGATTTGGGGTAAGCCCATCTCCTTTTTGAGTAGCACTTTGTACCAATGTCAGATGTCTGAGTCACACTTTTGGGGCTCATGGTCTCATGCAGTATCATTGTCTGGTTGTTTACGGGGGCAGAGTGACACTGAGCCTGGTCTCTGGGAAGTTACTCTGAGAGCAGTAATGCCCGTTGGCCCTCCAGTACATGCTTCTCCGTTTACTCCACCTTTTCTCCTGACTCTCGGCACCCTCCAGACCTGTACTGCCGCATGGATCACCTCCTTGTATGTAGCATCTCTTCTTCTAGGTCCCTTCATCTGCTCTGCTTGTCATTGCTTGCTTCATTCCTTGCCTCCTTTGTCCTGTCTACCGAGCACTCCATGTTTGTCCCAGAAGTGACCATCTTGTGGCAGACAGGATCTAATATTAATATCTACTTTTTTAAATAAAGAAGAAAACCTGAGAAATAAATGCATGGGTTAAAGGAAGGAATGGATGAGCTGACATAAGCATTCCTAAGAGGTGAGGAGGTTAGGGAATCCCAAGGGAAAGATCACTGCTTCTCCTTAACACAGCTGCTCACCTTGCACAGGACTTGAGCCGATGTTTAAAATTACCCACATGATTATCTCATCAAGAATTAAAGACAAGAAGAGTGTGGGGTGGGAACAGAGGTGAGAGCTGCATGAGCTCCCTCAGCAGAGTGTGGGTCTTAGAAGCCAGAATTCTCTCATGTAGAAGAGGAGGGGCTGTGTGGAGCAGTGTGTTCATGGAGTCACAGAGCCCAAAAGGTAGCCCATGCCTCCTCATCTAGTAACCTTCTGTGTAGAGAAAATTAGCTTATACTTTCTCTCCTGTCAATCCATGAAGACATTTAACACACCAGGAACCAGGTGGGTAGAAACTGGTTCACTAGTGTAGATACCCGAACACTCTATGAGGAGAAACATAGAATAAAGTAGTAATAGAAAACTAAAAATGTATATGCATGTATCTATAGAGTTTGAAAAGGTAGATCAAAAATGTGGACTAGTTATGCTGGGTCAGAAGACAGGGTTAGCTGTGATGGCAGTGTTGTCAACCATGGAACTCTATGCCTTGTCGTTGCTTCTTTCTCTTCTCCCTAAGTCTGCTTTAGCCCTTAATTCCCCCTCAGTCCCAGATGCATCATCAGGTAGGTCTTTAGTTATAACCCATATTAAGTATATAAGCAACTGGTTTTTGTTACCAAAGTAATATCTAAAATCATTTATATGATAATTTATTTGTTTCATGTGGAATTAAAATTTAATTTTAAATGTATATTTTTGTGTTAAGAGTAGGCAAATATAATTTAAAAATTATAACATGGGACAAGTATAAACCTATATTACGTTAATGCTAAAGTTTATTTGCTCAGTGTTCAGAGTATGCTCAATAACTTAGCATCCGGATTTTGTTCAGTGAAGTAATTTAAAATGCCAATAGAAATGTATGCATAAAAGTGTTCAAGATATCACTGTAATACAAACACAATACACCAAAAAACCCAAATAGACAACCCTAAATGTCCAGTTCAAAAGAATTAAGTAAATGGTAGGACAGCCTTCCAAAAACAAAAGAGTGAAGCTGATTGTCCAGTAGACTAAGGGGTCATTGATGCTGATAATGTAAACTATAAAAAGCAGTATACCACATTGTATGCTGGTCAACTTTACTACCTTTGTTTATTTTGATAATAAGAGGTTATAAAAATCATAGCAGGTACTGTGCCATTGGTCCATTTACTGTTCTTTATTTGATTTATTTCTGCTGGGAATAAAACCCAAGGCTATGTACAACCCAAGGCAACACCCTACCACTGATCTCTCTACCAAAAGGAACAAGTTGTTACATTTTTACCCCAAAGTTGCCAAGGACACCAAGAATTTCCAAAAAAGTTCAGTAAATATAAATGAAACAAAATTACTGGTTAAAATAGAGGCATTATTATCATATGATTCTTGCTAGGATTTCAGAATGAATTGTGCTTTACATGATTTCACTTGGAATCAATACCTATAAATGCAATTAGAATAGAAGTAACCAGTGGGCAGCTAGTTACAAGGATGCCTTGTTTGCCTGCAATCTTCATCAAAGAGAATTACGTAATAGAATATGTCATAATGCCTTGCAATGGAAGCAAGGTGATTCATGGCTTGGTTACTTACTTGGTGGAGTTAAGTGGCACATAACTTGGTCATTATGACCCAGTTTGGGATTGTCCTGTTCCTTTACTTGTGCAGCAGTAGCCAGATGAATTTAAATTAGTGACTGCCTCCTTCAGGTTGGTGAAGCTGTAATTAAAGGGTTAGTCTCCAGCGCATACTTAGTTTGATGCAATAGTCTTTTCTCTGAAGATGTTGGGTCAAACACAAAATTCAGCTCATGTGTGGACATGATTGTGGTCTCTGCCTCTCATTGTACACACCGTTCAAAACTGCCCATGGTGTGCCGCGATAGGGTCCTCTTTGCAAAAGGCAAAGATTGCAGCAAGGACAGGGATTCATCTCCGTAAGTACTGGATCACGGCTTCACTTCTGTCTGGGTGGAGTAGAGTTTTCTTTACCACCGCACCCCCTTATTTGCTTCTTTTCATTTTGGCCAATGAAGATGCTCACTGCTCTCAGTAGAATGATCGAAGTTTAAGAACAGTCAGTGGGGATGAGAAGGCTATATCTAAGATGAAAAAAAAAGGTAGGAACAAAGGTAACAAAAGACAAAACACCAACCGTGCCTCAGTGGAATCCTTGTACTGTATCATGCAACTCATAGAGAGTGCTGAGCTTTCCTGAGAGGAGAGTGAGCTCACCAAAACCTACAGAGAGCTTTAGGCCATCTTATTGAATCATGGTGGCCACCATTCCAACCAGGTGTAATTTTTACCCTAGTTCATAGGTGAGGAAGAGGATTGCAGAGTAGCCAAAGTATGGATCATTTTATACCCTTTGGATGAGGGCGTTGATTTGAGGACCTTCCGCGAGGTTGTGGAAAGTCATTTGAGGGTCACTGCACTGGACACTTAATCATAAGCATTGTCAGTCCCAAACTGTCCCCACTTATTCTGTGCCATCAAATGATTGATGTCCCCACAATCTTCACAGTGCCCTTTCCCATGAAGTCTTCAACAATGTAGACAGTTCTAGTGAAATCTGGACCAGAAAGACTTCTGTGCTTTTACCTCCAAACTGCTTAGGCAAAGTCAAAGAACAGCTAAGGAGGAGGAGTCCGGTTTTTCTGGGGCAGTAATTCCTGCTGATGTGTGTCTTCCCTCTGTGCTCACTGAAACACGGGGCAGATAGAAGCTATGATCATCATCAGCCATACTAGTACTGCCCCTCTTGTGACTAGGACCTCAGTCATTCCCACAGGAGCCTGGAGAATGTTGACAGTATATTATTTTGATAAAGGTCTCAGTGGGTCTTACAGGCTTTTAACTAAGATTAAAGGTTGCAAGAGAGAACACAAGGATACTTTGTAGCCCAAACCACCCATGTTCAGTAACAATGAAGTTTTGGAATGAAAATATAGACATTAAAGAAATGATGACCAACATAAAACCATCAGTTATCAGGACAAGTCAACCTACAATATGAAGCAAAATTTTAAAATTTGGAGAGGAAACAGTTTTATTGTTCTTAGATATTATCAGTCTTTATAAGAATTGAAGTGTCTCTCATTCAGGGAAAGGTTCACAATTACAATAGATGACTTACATGTGAAGAACCTGCTAGTATATGGGACTTTGTCTAGAGATGTAACAATGTGAACTTAGTTACCTTTGATGGGGTTAAAAAACCCTGGAAAATGTTGCTGCTTATTTCATGCTTTCAGTTACATTTTCAAATTTTCTTACTGATTCCTGGCCTCATAATTTAATTCAAAAAGAGTGTTGTGTATTTTAGATCATTTGGACACTCACCAATACCCCTTTCTCCTGTTTCCTGAACATAAGAGACTGTCTTTTTCTAAGCCATTTCTAGCTAGTAGTTGGTGAACAGAAGTGATGTGTGGTGAGTCACATGCAGGTGGGAAGCCATTTGG